CTTTTTTGCAGCTTTTTTGCAGCAAAAATACAAAACAAATCACGAACTCTTAGGCATCCTGTGTATGTTGCGGTAAATCGTTCAAGGCTCTGTCTCAACAAAAAAACGATTACCTGGTCAGGCATGGGGAAATCTGTATGCATCTAGCCACAATCAAGCCATAGATATCCGGCCTGAGAGAGCCGTACTGAATATGGGGGCCGCGAAATTTCACAACAATGCAGCATTATGGAATCATGATAGGGGGAACTTTGTCAGGAAGGCAGCCAGCCCCAGAAACTGGGAGTGAGAGCACGAGTCAGAGTGAGAGACAGACAGAGGGAGCGAGATAGAGAGAGACAGGGGGAAATGGCTTAAAGCTTACATATACATGTGGATAATATGCATATACATACACATAGACATGGACATAGACATATACAGGTACATATACATATACACATGCCACATACATACACTGACATACACATGCACATAGGCATAGTAAACATACACATATCATATACGATATACATACACTTCTTCGTTCGGGGGACTTTTGGTTTGGAAGCAAACGAAAAAGCAACCTAGGGTCCCACGAAGGGGTGCGGACAGGGCGAAGCCCATTACCTCATTACAGCGAGGCATGCATCCACCCATCCATCCATCCATCTAGAATCTATACATACATTGGCATGGCCTACATTGACACACGTTCATGACATAAAAAGCAACGGTGTTAGCTCCACTGATCCTGTGGGTGCCTTGGGGCCTGGACTCAAGGGCTCGGTTTCGAGGTTTGATGCGACAAGGTCAGTCAAAAGGTTTCATTGCTGCAGGAATTGTTCTCGCCTCAAGCAGCACTCACCGGATTCACACTTGAACGTCACCCCACATAGTACCTACATTGCACGCAAGAGGATAACGAATCAGGGGAAAGGGATCTGCGGCTGCTGTCACAGCTAGGCAGCTAGACCCAACACTCGCAGCTCACCGGCACAGTTTTATTTTTGATTATGTTAATACAGTAACTTGCATTTCGGTTTGTGACCGGGGCTTGCTGACGGTGTCCATAGCAGCCATAGCAACTGTGTGTTGCACGTCGCAGTGTACTGTAGGGCCTGTAGACTGTAGAGTATGTCTGCATGCACCGTACCACCGTACACCATAGTAAGAGAGTTAATAGAGCTAGCAGCTAGAGAGCCATGCCATAAACCCTCTTCATGCACTCGCACATTGCACACTTCCACATTCTACGATTCTACACTCGTACATTGTCACACATCTGGGACATGTTGCGACATCTGGGACACGTTGCGTACAGAAACACATACCCTATGGCCCTATGGCCCTATGGCCCTATGGCCCGATGACATACCCCCCACACATGACATGGAACGATATAGACTTTGACTTGGACGTAGACTCTAGACTCTGGACTCCGGGACTCTGCACTCTAGACTGACTGTAGACCACTGTAGACATAGCTGACATAGCCGTATGACATAGCCATAGCCGACATAGCCTCCGACACACAAATGCCCATACCGTGAAACCCTCCACGCACAGCGCTCGCAATCATGTGCACCACAGTGTGCAGCTGGCAACCCTTCTGATGCCACGATGTTTTGCGGCATTGCTCGACTGTGGCTCAGAATGCCAGCGATGGTTGGTCACGAACACAGTTGGATCCGACTTGGATCACACTGCTTCCTGGCGAATGTCCATGGACACTCACAGCAGGGCAGAGCAGGCGATGATGATAATTGCGCATGAAAAATCTTGACTGTCTGATCCCCTGAGTGGGTGGCAGTCACGAGCTAGCTGGCAGCACAAGCCATGGCTCCGGGTATTATCAGACTGTTTCCCACAAGTAATGAAAAGCGACTTGGCCCTAACATAACGGACATACGGTCATCAGCAGTCGTGTAATGAGACTTGCTGAGCACAGCAGATCCTTACTAGTATGGCTTAAGAGGCCAAGGGCCAGACGACTAAACGACTAAGTGATCAAGACGTTATATTCATTACATCTATCCCGAATACCCTAAGGCCCTAAGGCAAGCACTGATGCCAGCAGCAGTTAAAAGGCGGACGATTCTCAGCCCTGGGAAGCCAGATTTGGAACCCCGACGACTCTGTCATGGTATGGCACGGCAAGTTTAAGCTCTATATTGGCATAGCAAGAACGGGTTGCACACCAAAGTAGACTAAGTAGATGTTGGGGCCCCTGAAGTCCTAAACATACAACAAAGAATCGTAAATCAAGCGGTCGATATGTTCTGCACCTACCTCACCTATGTTTTGACTTACGTGCGCAAGGAGCTAGGCTACGGCTAGGGCTAGGCTAGGGAAAGGTTGAAGGATTTATTATTATAGGGTTTACGACTTTACGATTTAAGGTTTAAAGCTTGGAGTTTATGGCCTAGGGCAGGTCTTAGGGTCTTAGGGCCTAGGGGCTTAGGGTTCAGAGATTAGGTTTACGGCTTGCAGAAGGGACACACTGCGACTCACCAGCCCACTCTGGCTACACTGCTACACTGCTTTACTCACCACAGTCTCCAGAAATTGTCTTGTAACCGTTGGCACCTAGCTAGGACAGCTAGGATTAGCTAGCAGCTAGAAGCTAGCAGCAGCAGATAGCAGCTAGCAGCTTAGCACAATACGGGTCCCAGATCAAAGCTTCCTACGTCACTTGGCAAACTTCTGTACCGCTTGCCACAACGCTGGGTGAATATCATTGGACGTCATTCCCAGCAGATTGCTGGAAAGGAAAATGGTTTGCTTGGTCAGCAATCCCTCCATGTCCACGACGCAGGGGTCCTTGCTGTCGATCGAAATGTCCTTGCCCTTCACCTTGGAAAGCTGCCGCACCAACATCATCTCGATGACCAGCACTCTCCCCTTGCGCATGTCTGGCAAGTGATCGTCCATGGCATTCTTCAAGACGTCACGGGCCGATGCCATCGTTGAGCTGTCTTGGCTGCTCTCAAATTTCTCCAAGATCGCCGTGGCCGCCTTGAGGACCTGGATGAAATGCCCAGCAAATACAGATCATAAGCAAACACCTTCAGAAAAGCATCAGTCATGTCACTCACTAGCAGCAGCAGTCACTAGCAGTCACCAGCAGCCACTGTCACCAGCATCAGAGCACCTCCAGAGCAAGCAAACAGCAACAGTCACAGGATACCTCTGGATTGCGTGCATATGTCACCCGTTACTTCAAATTCCTCGCATCGAACCTCCATTCATCATTCATCGAGTGCCACTACACTACACTGTACATTCTCTGCGTGTGTTATAGTCTGGTAACTGTCATATCACCACACGATCTGAATTTGACAGCTCGGCACCTCATAGTAGGCCTCAGTGCTCTGTCGCAGTCGCTTGCCATCAACCTTCTCCACGGAATCCTGAGCCGCTTTCAACAGCTCCGCGAAGGTCACCGTGTTCACCTCGGGCGCCGTTGTTGGCAAGTCCTTCTTCCAGGAATGGAGGCCACCCTCCTCGAAGCCTTGAAAAAGCTGGGTGACCTGGCCTGCTGCTTGAGCAATCGCCCTGGAGTGGGCGACAAACAACTTCGACACCGCATCCTCATACACGTCGTCTTTTGTCAAAGGGAACTGCTGCACAAGGTCGATGTCGAGGAGCTCCTGCAACACTTCTGGCGATGCATCCCGAATCACAGCGAAGAGCGCATCCTCGGATGGGTGAATCTTCTGATTCAAGTAGTCCTGGCCCGCCCGCACGGCGGCCAAGCACTTGTCTCTGGCATTCTTCAAGATTAGGGTAGCACGTTCCGTGGCTTCGCACACCCCAGGCTCGGCCTCCGCTGAGTCACTTCCTTGCAGCTTCTTCCTCTGCGCCATGTAAACTATCCCAGTTTGCAAGAACTGAACCAGGACCAAAATGTACCCGTTCACGACCCCGAAGACATCAAGGCCTGACCCATCTTCGCCTTCCTGGGGAGGAGCCGTGCCGTTCTGAAACACGCCCTTGGCCAACTGGACGGTGGTCACCATGGCCGCCTTCACGTCAGCCGCACCCTTGAAGTCCGGGCTGAGGATCTGCAACAAGAAACAAGGACAGGTAGCCAGCTAATCACTTGCACCACGCAGTTTCTGGCCAGCAGCTGCTACTCAGCTACTCATACTAAGCTACTATTCGTATTGTGCCCTGTATTACTGTGTGCCTCCAAAATCCTCAGCTGCTCGTCTCAGTTTCGAGACATTGAGGACAGCGAACTCTCTTTCACAAGTCTGCTAACTGTGCTCTTGACTCTAGACTCCTCTAGATTCTGAACTCAAGATTGTAACCTGGACTACAGTCTACTCTCGTCTACTCGGCACAGAAGCGTTGCTGATATGATGAAATATATGCAATATCTATCAATGCCCACACCACAAACCGGAAACTGTCCTGAGAACCGACAAGTCTACAGAGTCTGCCGTCTATGTCTCCCTGTTGCGGCATATAAACCCTGAGAGCCGTCGCCGTCGCCCGGATCTACACTCTATATACACTAACAAACTCTACACTACACGTCTTAGCCTGTCCACTCCGATCCCTTGCAACCGAGCCCCGGGCCTTGTGCCCTATGCCCTATGCCCTATGCCTATGGCCTATGCCCTACGGCCCTATGGCTTAACCCGCCAGAAAAAGCTACGAAGTGTCACGAGCAGGCAGGAAGGAAAGGCTTCCAGCCTTGTCCATCATGTGCAGCAACGACTTCTGCACAAAGTTAGTCGCCGCTGATAGGATCTCGCCTGCTCCTGTCCCCTGAATTCGCCAAGACTGCTCTGGCTGCAAGTTTCGCACGGCTTCGTAGTCGATGGACACACGGGTCGCGGACTTCATGGCCTGGACCAATTCACCCACCTGTCGAGCACCCTTGGTGCTGCTTGCCCACTTCTTGAAGTCCTCGTAGACAGTGGGCACGCCAGCGATGGAGCTGGCAGACAAGAGCAGGCTCGACACTGCTTCCACAGTCGAGGCGGCATAGTGGTCGCCAGCCGTCTGGCCCGCAGACGACTGCATCATGCGTTTTGCTGTGGTCATGGCGATGTGAGCGACCTTGGCCAAAATGGATGACCACTCCAGGGACCGAACTCCACCCTTCACTTCACTCAGCAAGGTGTTCATATCCATGAGTTCGGCGCCTGAGGCTTCCGTCGCAGAGTCAGCAACAAGCTCTTTCAGCTTTCGCAGCTTGGGGGACAAAAGAGCTTTGCTTCCAGCCGTCTTCACTACGTCGCGAACTTGTGTGTGCCAAAAGCTGCCGTCCTTCATGAAGATCGCCTTCATGTTGCGATGGAAGAAGCATTTTCCGGAGTATTCGCTCACGAAGAAGACGTCCTGAGCTGAGCCACTCAGTACGCGACCATCCTCCAGTGTACACTCTTCATCCAACAAATGGAGCACGGCCTGCCAGAACCGGGCAAGGTCGCGGAATGCCTCCTTGATGGCAACCAATTCTGCCATGCTGCCCAAATGTTCCAAGAATTCCTCGTGCCCGCTGTAACACTTCAGGAATTCGCAAGCTAGCAGCACGAGGAAGCTCGCATGCTCGTGTCCGGCGTTCACAATGCCCAAGAACGACTCGTTCAGGAAGAGGTTCAAGAAAGCATTTGCCATCTCCTGCATCCAGCAGCGTGGTGAATCGAATTTCTGCCAGAAGTTAGCCGGGCAAGCAAATACTCAGGACGACTGTGTGCGGGCCCACTACTTTTACTACGGCACTACGATTACTATGCCTACACTACACCTCTATGCAGGGGCAAGAATTCACACGCAGCTCGAGTGCTGTAACACACAGAACGGGTCTGAAGGCAGGCATCCAGGGCCAAGGCGGGCAAGGAAAGCACGGTTGCTCTACCATCTACAACAAAACAAGCCCTATAGATTCAATAGGCCAATAATCATAGGCCATATGCTACGACTGAGCCAGTTCGCCTACGTTGCTCGCAGCCGGTAACCGGGTAGCCGGTAGCCTGTGACCTGTGCCGCTAATTTGCTTGAGCTTTCCTCCAGCCGCATCAGACAAGAAAGATAATGATATGTTCAACTATATTGACACTCAATCCTTCTTGCTAAACAACACAGCTTGCTATCATAGCCCGCCCTTTCGTTAAATAACTCAATGAAGGATCCAAAATGAAGGCTCAGACATCAACTGAATCTACTGAAACTACTGAATCCCACTGCGAAGCACTCCTGAGCCGCTGCCGTGGCTCGTTCCTGGGCGAGGTTCTCCATGGGCTTCTTGGTGCCGGCCTCATCGCCAGCTGACTCCAAGTCTTCCAAGTCGAACAAAGTCTTCTCGAAGCTGGCCTCCGCGCCATAGACGGAATCCTCCAAGGAACTCTGAATCATGGACAACGTGTCCGAGAACTGGGCATGGTCGCCCCGGAACTTCTTGACTTCATCAGCCGAAGCCGAGTCACCCTTCAAGCTCAAGATCTCAAAGAACGCCTTCATAAACTCCTGAACTGAGCCATTGGTAGCCCTCTGGATCTTCTGAAGCATTTCCTTGTCGCACTTGGCGCCAACATCCGGCTTGGCAAAGCACAAGCAAGCCAGCTCAAGCTGCTCCTCCGCATACTTTGCGCAGATTTCGATCTGCAGGTTGTAGGAGAAGCGCTCCCACAAGGCGGAGGTGCCTTGGACGTGCCGGGTAAGTTCTGCCACTGGCAAGCTTGAAACCCCTGAACTCAATGCCGACGCATGTTCGCACTCCACAATTCTGCGATGGAGAGTGTTGGTGGCGACGGTCTCAGTGCCCTTGCTCTTCAATGAGTCCAATATCCGCTTGGCCTCAATATGAATCGCAACTGCTGAGTCTGAGTCTGAGTCTAGAGTCTAGAGTCTAAATACGGCAAACACAGTTGGAGCTGCACCGAATGGAGAAACAAAAGAGGAACACAGGTAGCAGGATAACCCTAGGGTCCTAGGGTCCTGGGGCCTTAGGGCCTGGGGCCTGGGCCTAGGCCGAAGATTTGCATCTTTCCTTGTTGCTTTATGTGTATGAAACTTTTTGACCACCCTCTGCCTCTGGACCTGCCTGTTGTTTGCTGGGATGCTGGGCAAAATACTGCCAATTTTGAGCATTTCATGCTGTCACACGAGGAGTGTTTAGGATACTAGTACATGTCACAGAACAGACAGGTCCCTCCAAGCCTTTCTGAGGGTCCCAGGCCAACGGTTAGTTACACGATTAGTTATAGTTACGGCCAATTAGCGGCCAGCGGCAGTGAGAGGTGGAATTCGTAGACTCGTAGACTCGACCGTTCAACTCAGGCTCTGACACCGCTGAGGCTGTTGGACAGCTGCTTGGATGGTTCCAAAAGGAATTTTACCGGAAAAAGGTGCTCCAGCGACGTGGCTTTCGATGTCGGGCAGTTTTGGAGGTGTCGCTGAGCAACGAAGGTCATGTCCTTGTCAAGGTTCTGGAATGCCTTCGTCTTTCCCACTGTCGAGGCGGAGTTTGTCTCCAAAGCTTCGAGCTTACTCTTGCTGGGCGTGGGAACCACAGACGGCCCTGCTGGAGAGGCAGTAGATGCAGGTGTGGCGGCGGATGGGGCGGATGCGGCGGGTCCCTTCCCAGGCGCTTTTGCCTTTTTCTTCGGCTTGGGCATGTCATCATCATCGAAGAACAGACCCATGGCTCTGTCGGGATTGCCCTGCTTCTGCTTCTTCTCATCTCCATCGTCGCTGCCATCAGCTTCTTCCTCCTCCTGATCCGGCTCTACGGCGGCTGCCGCTTCCGCCGCATCTGCCAAGCCTCGGAACTTCTCGACAAAGGCGTCGAGGGACTGCGGACGGTTGGCAGATGGCTTCAAAGGCGCAGGACGCTTAGACTGCTCCTTGTCCACGGCGTGGCTGTAGACAGCCCTTGCATGGTGCTTCGTCAATTGTTTCCCGTGCTCCAATATGGCAACCTGGAGCTCGGCGCAGACATTGTAATAGATCCGCACCTTCCGAATTGAAGCAACGACGTTAGCTTCAACGTCCAAGAGGTCCACCAGGTAATAGTTGCTATTCGCGGATGGGGACATGTACGGGAGCTTGACAACCGACGGCCCCTTGTTCTGCAGCTCCTGCGGGAGATGCCCAGCGATCTTCCCGTATTCTTGTTCAGTGAGGAGCCCATATTCTTGGTACACCTCAAAGCCGTGCTGCGTGTTCTTGGACACGGATCCAAATGGAAAGTTTGGCTCCATGTCACCGTTTGCCACTTTGGTTGCCACCTGGAAGTCGTCTTTGAAGCTTGGGTCCTCCTTGCTGCCTGCTCCAAGGCGGAAGTGCTCGACCAGCTCCGACAGCTGCTTTCCGGGGCGAAGCTTTTTGGCCCGTCTCCACACTCAAAGCAGCACTGAAGGGGCTCGCCTTCGGCGTCAGGCTTGGAAAAGTGCTTCTCCTGTCATGGCCATGTAAATTGTAGAGCCGGGCGATCTAATCTCTGACATCTGCTGTTGTTTTTGTGGGCAGCTAAAGTCTAAAATTCGGGACAATGTGCATGCGGCAACCGGAGAAGATGCTGGCCACGCTGCCGGGCCCAGCAGTACCACCCAGACGCTAGGTACAGTAATGTCCAGAGTCTAGAGTCTGGACAGCGAGTCTAAAGAGTCTAAAGACAGATTAGCTGCTCTGCTACAGATTGCATCGCAATTTCTCGACAATCTACACTGTAGCAGTGTAGCAGCACTGTAGCACCTAGCTAGAAAATCCAGCACCCAACAGCTGACACAATCGAAAGGCCAAAGGCACACTTCGCAGTGCACGTCCGCCCTGTGACATAGGGCAGACTTCAGAAGGCTGGCGCCGACATAACACAATCACAAAGCAACATCACAGCAACAGCAACACCTTCCTACCACAAATCATAGGCCATAGCCATAGCCATAGCCATAGGCCATAGGTCTTAGTCACTCTTAGTCTAAGTCTAAATCCGAAGTCTTAAGTATAAGTGTTAGTTTTACATTTTACTCATTTGGAACTCATGACAAAAAAGTCTATAGTCATAGGCCAGAGGCATACGTAAACACGTAAACCTGCATAAGTCGCTGAAGCACTTAAGTCACTGCAACGAGGTCAACAATCAGCCGCCACTCAGCCTTTGCTGCCTGATGTCCGACGCAGCATGAATCACAGAGTTACACTCAACATCATCAGTCCTTGTTGTTGCAACCACACAGGAGACAAAGGAGGATCAGGGTCTTGACACGAGTGCGCTTTGTCGGAGCCGCCGGCTCTGGCTCGGTGGCGGCAACGATTTGCGTCTCCTTCCATGGGAAGAGCGAGGCGGCGAGTCACCATAAGTTTTTTATCATAAGGGCCTTGCTACAGTGACTACTAGTCTAGACTAGACAGACTACAGTGCGCAGACGGCTGGCTCCGAGCCATGGGACCATAGGACTGGTTAGTGATACTGACTCCTGCTTGGCTAAGACGGCTAAGACTTGCAGCTCGCGACTAGACTAGCTAACCAGTCACGGGTGAAAATCAATTAGTTAGGGCCGTTAGGGAAGTCATGTGCAACCAACTCCAATCGTCCTTGCCACGTTTGCCCATGGCACTCTGACGTGACTGCTTCGGAGGAATCAAAGTCAGGGCTACCAAGCAAAGAAAACCTGCAGAATTTGTGAGCAGCCGCTTCCTTGAAGCAGATATGCTTTCCAACAGTTCGGCCCCGAAAGAATGTGCTTCATAGATGCTCACGAAGCTCTGTCTGCGAGTTTCTATCTCACAACGATTTGCACCCCAAGAATGCCGCTCACGCATAATATGTTTCTTTCTTTGTTTCTCTCTCTCTCTCTCTCTCTCTCGCTCTCGCTCTCGCTCTGTCTCTCTCTCTCTCTCTCTCGCTGATCTCTTCTCTCCATCCCCGCCTCTCTCTCTCTCTCCGTTTCCCTCTGTTTCTCTCTTTCTTCCTATTTTGCTCTCTCTCTATCTCTCTCTCCGTCT